TGAATTCATTTTTTTGTAAATATACTATTAATTTTGCTTTAAAATTTTGATTTCCATTGATGCATCAACCTATTATATCAAGCTAATCTTTTCTCTTTAATCTAGTTCAAATCCAAATCTCTTTTCAAAAATATAAGTCTCTATTGAGGATTTGAATGATGCTTCAGGTAACGATTTAAGGATTTCTTATAAAAATGACTCACTTAACTTTTTCTTTTCAAAAAAAAACTCCTCTCATAAATGCCTCAAGAATATCATACTTATAATCTTTAAACTTACTCTCTAGCCTGCTCATTTTTATTTTTTTTTTATGAACTCGTTTTCATATGGATCAATGGTATCATTTTTGTATTTTCTTGTTCAAAATTTTCTATAGGATATTCCCAAATCACTAAAGAGGATAGCTATATCTATTATCTTTTCCAAGGGAGTCCTGCAGATTCTAGAATGTCCAACTTATTTAACTTCCATAGATGACCATCTGAATAAAGAGCACTAGTCACAGATCAATCTGCAAGTTGCTGCAAGCTCATATATTAAAATCTTATCCTCATTTTTGAGTGGCATTTTCCTAATCACCACACTTATTATTTCATAGAGTTGAAGATTCTTAAATTCTTCATTAGTCTCATGATAATGAATTTTAATTATTTGTCTCATGAGTCTTAAATACTTAGCTCCAATGTTTCCCTCAAACCAGCCAGTTGTATCACATAATTAGATAATATTTCTGAAAACAAATTCGTCTTTGAAGTTTCTGACCTCTTCTAATTTTAGCTCTTGGTGCATTTTCCAAAGTAGTAAAGAGATATATATGCTAGCAATACAGAGTGATCTCATTTTTTAATTTTCTACTCCAATCTTGTAATCTTTCTTCTTAATATTTTCAACATTTTGGCTCTTTGCTTAAGCATTTTAGAAAAAAAAATCCTCAGTGGCTTATTCATCATAATTTGAGCAAAGATCTTCCTATTGTATAGCCATTCTTAGTAACTTAAAAAGGATCTTTTACTTTTAAATATAAATTCTTTTTCATCCTCTGGTTTCTTGTTTTTAATTATCCCTTTTGCTTTACTTTCTTCCTTCTAGCATTACTTTTCAAACTCACTCAATTCGTATTTTTTCTTTTTTTAAAGAAAATCTTCTCTAGGTTCAATTTACTTGAGTCATAGGCATCAGATATTCATTTTTTAAATATTAATCATATTCAGGAACCTTTTTGTCAAAAACATTCTAAGCAATGGAATTCCATTATTCGATGTAAATAGATAATGCTGCTAAAAATAGGTTTTAAACTGATCTATATTGATTTGCATTTGTGGATTGCAATTTCTGCACAAAATCTTCAGAAGGATCATCCCTGTAAGTCCTTTCAGCAATTTTTCTCTTTCTTAACTTTTATTTATAGTAATTTTTAAGGTTTTTAACAACATCAATGCAATTCCAGGTATGAAGGGATCTATCACATCAATATCAATTTTATTCATAAGTATATTAGTGTAATTCTTAAAAGATAAATAGTTGTATGGATCAATTGAATCAACATCCGTTACAACATAAATGAGCACATCTCATTTCTTTCAATCCAAGTTACTTTGATTTCTATAGATATTACTCATTAGCATACAAAGCTTGCTTGAATTCATCATGACTACTTGCGATAAATTTTTTGATATCTGAACTTATTGAGTTGAACTTAAGGAAATAAACGCAACTTTTAAGTAAGGATAATATTTCCATCTCTTCATCAGGATCCTCAACTACTCTCATTAAATTTCTAATGAGAATGCCAATTGCCTCTGATTTTGCTTGTTCTCCATATTTTAATCTGAAATTCTTACCACTATCACTCTATTTATCGTTAGTATGCTTCATAAGTATCCAAAAAATTTTTGATCAAATCAAATTCATTTTTAACAGCACCGATATATTTTAAATGAACCTAATAATCTAATAGCTGTTGCTATTTCTCCATTGTCAAGTTCAGATAATGGTACATTGTTAAGGCATTCAACAACAGCTAGTTCAATATAGTCATTAGAAACTTCGAGACAATTAAACAGAGCGGTTTCTCTACCAACATCATTAAGTGATTATATAACCTCCTCAAATATAGGAGATGACCCAACTTTTTCAGTTTCCTGAGATAAAAAAAAATCAGGTTTATAATAGCAATAAATAATTCCTAAACGACAACATGATCTAAGTGTAATAATTATGTAGGTTTCTCTTTATTTGCAAAGCTTAATGGATTATAATATCTTATTGCCATTTTTAATTAGTCTTCATACTTTTTTAATCCCAAATAAGGAATTAATTAGACAAGATTTTACATTTTCTTTATCTTAGGTTCTAATAAATGCTGATTATTTTTCAATTCTACTCTTGAAATCAGTTACTTTACAAGCTTGCAAGAGAAATCAGTAGTACTGGATCAGTTTTTAATGAAAAGTTACTAGTAGCATCTCATCAAGCAGACTATCATTTATAATTGATCTTATCTTTCTGCCTCTAATAATCCGCCCAAGACATCAATTTCTGCTTCTATAGTCAAATATTTAAGTTTCATTTTTTCTACTGTGTCTTTAGAGTCCTCATCTCTTAAATCATTATTCTTTTTGTAAATATGCACGGATTATCTAATTTTCTTCGTGATACAATTATGATGGTATTATCAATAAATTTTTTTAGCTACTGATTCTGAAAACATCCAAATAAATTCCACAAATCTCAAGCAATTTATGTATCGCTACTATTCCCATGTACTTTCATCTAATATTTCTGCTATTAATTCTTTCAGTACCTTTTTAATAGCCATACTAATATTTTATCTACAGTCCTTAAGTGATACTGCTATTATTGAGTCATAATGATCATTATATTCATAGATAGCTCCTACCTATTCTTTTAAATGAATTTATCTTGTCTAGAATTAGGGCCCTAATAATGCAGATTATATCCTCCATTCTCCAATTGGGAAATATAACCAGAGTCATCATTTTTATCTATACTAATTTTGACAATTTTCTATGATTAATAAAGCATTATGAAATTGAATCGGTATATTTTGCAGCAAGCATGGTCAGCTTATTCAATCTTAAACCTAGCAAGTATCACTTTTAGCAAGGCCACACTATAATATGTAACATTATAAGGCATCGCAGCAAAATGATTGGATCTTAGTTGATAAATTCAATGGCAGGTACAGGCTAACAACTTAAAGGATAGATTAACATTCCAATTATATCTTCTATCAGATTAGGAAATTCTAAACAAACTATCTCAAGCAACACCAGGAATCATAATCTTAGATAAAGAACTTATATTCCCATAAGGTTATTCAGTCTAGTTCTAATAAACACAATAACGTATCATAGCCCAATAACAATCCTTGAGCAATAATAACAAATATCGATTTAAACAGGAGTATACAGGAAACTTTTAACTATATTTAGTAGAACCAAATACCCTCTTAGAAGTACCTATAGTATGTTATGAGTTAGTAAATATAGTAGCAAGATGATTCGAATCTGATTTACACAAAGGAAAAAATTAAGAAGCTCAAAGATGAGAAAATAAAGCTTCATCTACTATTAACTGATACTGAGGAGAAATTCAAAAGGAAATTAGATAAAGTGAGAAGAAAATCAGAGGGTATATCAAAAATTTTCAATTAGATACTGCCTATTATATGATTTGTAATTTCCTCCTAGTAGTAGCAATAAACCTTCAACAGTCAATATATTGATCTCTAAGAGGCTTAAAATATCTTAAAATATCTTGAATCTAATTCCAACAACTTAAGCTGATAACAGCTGCCAGGAAATGTGAGTAATTAAATTGATATAACTAAAACTAAGTACAGATTTGCAAGATAAATAATCTAGAGTTAGAGGTAAACGACTAAAGGACACTAATCACATGTATCTCAACTAAATAAAGCAATAAATGGTTCTCTCCAGGATTTAAGAATAGGAACTTATCAAGCTCAGAAAAGAATAATAGAGAACGAAGAGCTTCAAGCTCATAAAAAGAGCATTGATCTGTATTCTTCTAGTAAATTGTAAAATAGTGACAAGCAGGATAGTACCACTACCATCAACGACAAAGTATATAATCAGCATAACTATACTAATATGAATTCCGAACCCAACTCCTGCTTTCTTATAAGCTACTCTCATAAATTGTATAAACTAAGCTGAAATAGATGATTTAGGTACTGGATAGAGTATCAATCTAGATTCGAACAAGATTAAACTTCCAGATTTCTTTAAATAGTAGAGTATGGTAAGTATGACTGGGCAAGGTCTTTCTTGAATTACTGATTATTCACCCATCAAGACTTCTAATTTAATGCTTGCCAATATTGGTGATAACAAACTAATCGAAGAAAACAGCAATTGATGCCAAATGAAATGAAAAAAGTCGATCATCTAGTTCACCATTTACAATGAGCAAAAACTTCATTAAATATAATATAAACAACAACTACTATAAATGATTCATTTAATTAGTTTATATGCTATTTAAAAGTCTTCGAAGTTTAAACGGCCGGGGTTTTGGGGTTTTGGGG